TTTCTCATGGAATTGTTGGCTTTGGGGCAGGCGTACGTGGAGATGGCGCGGGGCCCCGCCGAGGCCATGGTGAGATTCTACAGCGGCCACAGCGCGGCCACCGACGGCCACGAGCTGAGAGTGGAGCACGAGGCCAGACACACGGACCTCAGGGATGAGGTGGGAATGTTGGGATTAATGGGATTAATGGGGTTATTGGGATCATTGGGGTTATTGGGATCATTGGGGTTATTGGGGTTATTGGGATCATTGGGGTTATTGGGATTGGGACATGGAGCACGAACCGAGACACACGGACCTCAGGGATGAGGTGGGAATGTCAGAACTAATGGGATTATTGGGGTTATTGGGATTGGGATAATTTGGATTATTGGGGTTATTGGGATTGGGGACATGGAACACGAGCCCAGACACACGGACCTCAGGGATGAGGTGGGATTATTTGGATTAATAGGGTTATTAGGGTAATTGGGATTATTTGGATTATTGGAATTGGGATTGGGATCTTTGGGGTTATTGGGATTGGCGACATGGAGCACGAGCCCAGACACAGGGACCTGAGGGATGAGGTGGGAATGTCAGAACTAATGGGATTATTTGGGTTATTGGGATCATTGGGGTTATTGGGATTGGGGACATGGAGCACGAGCCCAGACACACGGACCTCAGGGATGAGGTGGGAATGCCGGGATTAATGGGATTATTGGGATCATTGGGGTTATTGGGATTTGGGACGGGGAGCACGAGCCCAGACACAGAGACCTGAGGGATGAGGTGGGAATGTCGGGGTTATCAGGATTAATGGGATTATTGGGATTGTTGGGGTTATTGGGATTGGGGACATGGAGCACAAACTGAGACACTGCAGGATGAGGTGGGAATGTCAGGATTGAGTTTAGGATTGGGATTGGGATTATTGGGGTTATTTGGGTTTATTAGGGTTATTGGGATTGGGGACATGGAGCACAAATTGAGGCACCTCAGGGATGAGGTGGGAATATCAAAACTAATGGAATTATTGGGATTGAGATTGGGATTGTTGGGGTTATTGGGATCATTGGCGTTATTTGGTTTATTGGTGTTAATTATTGGGGTTAATTATTGGGATTGGGGTCATGGAGCACGAACCGAGACACCGTGACCTCAGGGATGAGGTGGGAATATCGGGATTAATGGGATTATTTGGGTGATTGGGATTATTGGGAAGATTGGGATTGGGGTTTTGTACAATTAAGGGAATTTGGGAATTGTAGAGATTTGGGGAATTTGAGGATTTGGGGGGATTTGGGAATTTTGGGAATGCGGGGATTGGGGGATTTTGGGAATGTGGGAATGTGGAAATTGCAGAGTTTGTGGGGATTGGGGAATTTGGGAATTGTGGGGAATTAGGGGAATTGTGGGAATCTGAAAACTGTGGGGAAAATTCCAGAAAAACTTCCCACTTTTCCACTTCAAGCAGGATTTGGGATTTCAATTGAACTTTTCCTGGTGTTTAAAACAAGGGATTTTTCCCACTGGGAATTAATCCTGGGAAATACTTTTTAAAATTTTGATGTGATAAATACTTTATTAATTATGTATTAATTATTTATTACTTTTAATTTACTAATTCTCATTAATTAAGCTAAAATCCCATTTTTCCTCCTTAAAGGAAGCGATTTTCATCACTCTCATCAAAGATTCTGATCCCAAGGTGAGTTTTTCCTCTTAATCCCAGTTTTTTTCCTTCATTATCCCAAATGTTTCCCTTTTCTCCCTTCCCCCTTGCTTTTCCCTTTTTTCCCAGTTCTCCCCCTTTTCTTGTTCTTTCCCTACCCCTTTTCCCTCTTTTCCCCTTTTCCCTCTTTTCCCTCATTTCCCCTTTTCCCTCTTTTCCCCTTTTTCCCCTTTCCCCTCTTTTCCCCTTTTTCCCCTTTCCCTTTTCCCCTATCCCTCCTTTTCCCTTTCCCCCCTTTTCCCCTTTCTCCTTTTTCCCTTTTTCCCCTTTTTTCTCTTTCCCTTCCCCCCTTTCCCCTTTTCCCCTTTCCCTTTTCCCCTTTCCCCTTTTTCCATCTTTCCCCTTTGTCTCTTTTTCCCCTTTCTCCCTTTCCCCCTTTTTCCCTTTCTCCTCCCCCTTTTTCTTCTCCCATTTCTCCATCCTTTCCCTCATTTTCCCCTTTCTCCTTTTTCCCCTTTTCCCCTTTCCCCTTAATCCCCCATTTCCATTCTTCCCTTTTCACCTTTTCCTCCTTTTCCCCTTTCCCTTTTCTCTCTTTACCCCTTTCTCCTTTTTCCCCCTTTCCCCTATTTCCCCTTTTTTTCCCCTTTTCTCCCTTTTCTCATTTTTCCCCTTTTCCCCCTTTTTTCCCTTTTCCCCATTTCCTCCTTTTTTCCCCCCTTCCCCCCTTTCCC